AAATGTCAAAAATATTATCTCAATTTCTAGGATGTACAATCAACATTTTTCACACTAGATGGCTATAGTGATGTTAGTAGTTGGGTTTGTGTTGGTGCGCTATAGGAAATAGCCGCGCATACCAAATAACCTTACAGAAGATGTGTCAAAAGAATAATATTGAATTCGGCCACTCGCACTACATTGCACTGGTGCACACTCAAGGCTGCTTAATGTTCACCAGTTTTTTATTCGTGTTCATCAGAGTAGTGTAGTGCAATGTAGTGCGAGTAATCAAATTCAATATAAATGTATTAAGTAAAATAAGTGTATATAGGTTATAAGTATTGTGTTTTAATTTTACCATACATTCTGTCAAAAAGCTTTAGTGTATGATCTGTCTAAAGTAAATAAAATTAAATATCTCAAAGTTTAATATTTCAATTCTACGTATCCTAAATTAGTTCCAACAATATTTATAATTTCCAGTCAAAATAAAAACAAAAATTATAAACAAACTCAATTATAAACAAACTCGACAAGAAATCTTGTAATACACAAAATAAAATTGACTGAAAATTATAAATATTGTTGGAACTAATTTAGGATACATAGAACAGAAATATTAAACTTTGACATTTAATTTTATTTATTTTAGATAAATCATACTAAAATCTTGAAACGTGTGCTTTCTTGACTGATTAAAATTGACTGGAAATTATAAATATTGTTGGAATTAATTTAGGATACATAGAACAGAAATATTAAACTTTGGTATTTAATTTTATTTATTTTAGACAAATCATATAAAATTTCTGAAACGTGTGCTTTTTTGACAGATCCTAAATTAGTTTCAACATTTATAATTTTCAGTCAATTTTATCAGAATCAAAACAAAACAGTATTATTTTACCTTTCAAAAAATTGTCGTACCTATACAGTAAATCAAAAAAAGCTGTCGTATATACAGGGTGTCCCAAACTTACCGTATCACCCGTTAATGGCACATTCCTGAAGTCATTTGGAGACGAAAATCTTAATACCAAAATGTCGAGGCTACTATAGTATTTGAATGGGAAAGGCTTAAAGTTTACCAATCAGCTTGTCAGAATTTTGCGCGCTCAGGAACATCGCATCTAGAAAGGACCCTTGCACAACACTTTATGTAGCAGATCATACTTCGTGCCGATAGTATTGATTTTCTATCATGGCATGAGAAACGTCATTTGTCAATGGCACGACTGCTTTGACAGTTCGACGCGCATCGTGTTTTAATACAATTTAGAAATTATTATCGTTAGTAAATTCGTCAGTATTGCGAACAATGTAAATAAAGTGAATAAGAGCTGAGTGAAGTGAATAAAACGTATTGAATAAAATGTTGTGCAAGGGTCCTTTCGAGATGCGATGTCCCTGAGCGCGCAAAATTCTGACAAGCTGATTGGTAAACTTTAAGCCTTTCCCATTCAAATACTATAGTAGCCTCGACATTTTGGTATTAAGATTTTCGTCTCCAAATGACCTCAAGAATCTGCCATTAACGGGTGATACGGTAAGTCTAGGACACCCTGTATATTACAAAAAAGAAATGATATCTATCAAAAAATTACCTTTTTTAAAAAAGGTAAAAAAGGCGCCAAATACACGCTCTTGTCACAACTAAAACAAAACCATATTGTTTTATCTTTTAAAAAAATTGTCGTATATATTAAACCTTTCAAAAAAACCTGTCATAGATATTAAAACCTTTAAAAAAAACTTGTATATAGTAAAATTTTTAAAAAAGCTATTATATATACTTTCTGCAAAAAAATATGATATCAGGAAATGGCACCAAGTGGGACTAAAGAACTATGAAAAAAGTTTACACTATTTCTATAAAAACTCTTCTATAAAACTCTTGTACATAAAGCTGTCGTATATATAATTAACCTATATTATATACCTATATATATTATAAAAAAAATAAATA